GTCTCCAGTTTGAAGTCTGTTAGGCCAATAGACCATCCATGAGATTAACCAGCTCTAATTGGTACCTACCTCACGTTAGGGAAAGTAAAGGCAGCTGGGCATATTTCTAACCACAATATCCCTTCATATGCCGAGGTCACAAAAACAGGTGAACTCTACCTCACTTGCACTGCACAGTAGGTGTAAAAATATATTTAAACAGCAATGCCTCGTTATTTTGTTTTGAAACAAATTGTTTCGTTCATTGACTGTTTCGTTCATCAATTTATGAAATTTAGTTGCAATATAAATTTTACATAAATAATTTTTGGATGTCTAAATCAGATAATATACATCTGATGCAACGTGTTTTCTATCAAAAGAGTATCGCAATACTTACAATCATTGTAAATAAAACTACGTACCAATTACCTGTAAACTGCATCCCTCTTAGGTAATGTAATAGGACTCGCTGTGTGATCTTCTTCATAGGTAAAACGTACTAGAACAAATGTAGCATGTATCTAAATAGTTATGTTAAACCCAGTTTTACAACAACAAAATTAACAAAAATGTATTTCTCCCATTAGTTCATATTTAGAAAATAATAAAATGGACAACGAACATAATGATAAATATAGTGATGATAATTCGCAAAAAAAAAAGAGCAACAGTATGACTGTATAATCTAGAAATGCCACTCAACAAGAGATTATTAATTTTTACTCAATCCTGTTTAGCGCCCCAAGGGTCGGCTGCCCCACCCCCCACCCCCCTAGCTACGACTCTGCCCAACGTTCTGACGTGAAGGATTTATTTTTTATCATATTTTACATCCTTGTTTCAAAAATATAATTCTCTTAAATATCATCTGCATTAAAGTAAAAATTAAACATTAGACTTTACAAGCAAATACCACACAACACAAGACAACTATGTAAGCAATCATGTGCACTAACAATCAACCACGCCATTAGATTCTAGGATGGTTTATATTACCGTATGTAGACTGATAGCACGTAAATCTGAATAAAGACTGGCATGGCTAGATGCACGTTTTAAGTCTACAGCCAGCCAAAAATACAAGTAACTTTTTCAATGGTTGAGATCTACCTGATGCTGATGTTATAACTACATCTTACATTTGAATGGAAAATTTTAATATTAACAAAAAGTTTTACAATAACCCGCGAACGAAGATTATTTCAATTGCCTACGATTATCTTTGACAAGAAATTATTGTTGAAGATTCGAGTTACAAAAAATTATACAATAAAAATTATTTCTTAGTTTCCAACAAAATTATGTTGAAAAATTAAAACAATTTGAAAATCGGTTGAAAATAAGGGTAACTTGATACACCTATGGCCTAAGGCAATGCAACAACAACTCAGGGTAATAGCATCTTGTCGTCAATTTTCTTACTCAGAAATTAATTTAAAGTCACTAAAGTCGAGGTTCAGAAATAATTTAAACGGTACAAAGTATGATCTCTAAATTATAGATTTAAATATTTATAATTTTAGTAAAAAACATTGAATTACGTTTTTCTGTAAACTTTATTTTAATTTTTTCGGTTAACTGATTCAATGCAGTTTTTTTCCTATCCTAAGTGTTTTTATTGACAAACGTTTTAGTGTTCTTCGATTTTGTAATTCACTTATTCGTTCTTGCCTTGTAATCGGGTAACGTTGACTAACTAACCTTTCTGGGGGAAAAATATTGACGTGTTAATGTGTTTCAAAACTGCGATCCTTGAATTGTGTATTAGAAATCAAATATTGTAATGCGATATAAGACATATAAAGCTTTCGAACAATTTAATATTAAACGCAATTCTGATTTCGTCTCGGTTTAGAAAGTTAAAGCAAAATAAAATTAGATGTTTTATTTACATTTTAAAGTAGATTTATAACGTATATGCATTTGTAATATGTTATACTGTGTTTTTTAACTTTGTGTTATATGATAAGCATTTGATTAGAAGTAGGTTATTGTTAATAATGTTGCTTTGCTTGCAGTTCATATTCTAAAATATTATACACAAGATTACTTTTAGGAGCACATTTTTTTTTTCAAATTTACTTTTGCTCTACTTAGGCCTACTTGTAAATTAAACGTATTGTATTTTTTAAACATGGCAAAATGGGCTGAATTCTACAGCTGAACATAAATTCTTGACTTTAGCTTTATTATAGCCTAAATTTTATTTTAAAATGTTAAAAAACAAAGTTAGACGCTACAGATATAATTTTGCGGTTTCAGATATATTTTTACGTTAAATGTTGGTTAATTTTCTACAAATATTGACGAAAAGATGTTACAAGCGTCAAACATTTTAAAATTCTGCTTTTTAAAAAAAATATTAATATCTTCACATAAATATGTCTCTACAAGCATAATTCAGCAATGAAATTTTAAATGTACGTGTACAAGTTGTTGAGTTGTAAAATGTCCTTGAGCACATCCAGCTTTGTTCCGTGCGCGTAAAGGAAACAAGGCGGCTGTGCATTGTGCTGATCAACTGTATTCTATAAACTTATTCTTGAGTTTATATGTCATCATGATCTGAACTTATCAAATCATTTCATTTTTTTGTGAACGAATGTATTTATACGTTGTTAGGTCTAATATATTTAAACTTCACTGCCATTCAAGTTAACTTTTATTCGTCATTTCTATATTTGTATTTTCCGTTGATAAATTGAACGTCGTAAAATTCACATTTTTTGTGTTACAGAATCTATCGCAAAATATTAAAAAACACTATTGAGACTGAAAAATGAACATCAAAACCATAGAATAGCTATTTTTACTTGCTGGCCTTTGTTGTTTGGCCGAAGAAATGGTTTGTCATTTTTTCCATTGACTTTTTGTACAACATTACGAAATTTGATTTATGTCTAAACACATCCACCCACCTGTCTAAACACATCCACCCAAAATCTGAGAAACTTAGTTACAATATTTCACTCAATTATTGTTACATACCTGTGTTTCAGTTATAGAAAGAAGACAAGGAAGCAGAGCAATGCATATGTTTTGGAGGAACATTGAGTAGATAATCGAGCGTCTTTCAAAGTAGGCAGTTGCAAAGTGTGTAGAGAAGATTAAAGTGGGTGTAATGTGGTTAACATGTCAGCTTAATGAGACACGTTAATCCTTTTATGGAAAACATTGATACGATGATCTTTTAATAGAAATAACTAGGAGTGTTGAAGCTTCAAAGTTGAAGCTGATTATACAAAGATGTATTTAGAAAACGAATAAGACCATTCACAATTAATTCACTGTTTAAAGTTTCCCTTTCAAAGCTGACGGTCTATGGGACAAGTGAAGTAAAGTTCACTTGTTTCTGTGACCTCGGCATATGAAGAGATAGTGTGGTCAGCACTATGCCCAGCCGCCTTTACTTTCCCTAATGTGAGTTACGTACCCATTAGAGTTGGGTTGACTCAGGGACGGTCTACTGACTTGAACCCGGATTTAACTCATAGTTCAAATTCATACACGAAAAATATTTAATACAGATCATTGAGAAACCTAAGATATACCGTGTTAATGCAGAGATCAATAGCTCTTAAAATACACCATAATATGGTGGTCAAGGAGTATAAATATTACAACCAATAATTCAACAAACTTGAAAGGACGTCATAAAAATAGTTAGCACCCATTTCGGACCCAATGATACGATGCGTAGATGAAGTAGAGTTCACCTGTCTCTTTATAATGGAAACTAAGTTTCCAATTTAGTTCTAAGTATGTTGATTATTGCATGTAATGGGATGGTGTGGTCATCATTATGCCCAGTCGCCTTTTTTTTATAACGTGAGTCAGGTATCAAGCTTGACGGCACAGAACTCTCTCGAGAGCCATTCCAGTCCATAATTCCAACTCGATAATTTGGGTTATCAAACAAGCGCTCTACCACTGTAGAGATGTGCTATTGATTTTAAACTGTGATGTATTACGCAGGCTTACATCTGTATACACAAGTCAACGACCAATTACAGTAATACTAGACTCAGAGCTCATCGATTTAACAATAGGCCGGGTTGTGGGGTAGGAAAACTCATTACAGTAATTGAAATGGATTGATTCTATTTAGTGTTATGTATTGCAAAGATTCTGTATATTTTAGATTTAATACAAGGATATTTTTTTCTTTTATATTTATCTTCTTTATTTTTATTTGTATGCAATGGCGTTGCGACGACGGGGCTAGGGGTACGGATCGCACCTGGTGACACAGTTTAGGGGGTGACACCAAGACAAAACAAACTGCAAAATATATAGAATATATGTTTTTTAATAGTTGAATAAATGGTTAATTAGAGTTAAAGGTAAAATAATTTCACGTACATAATGACGATCTTGAGAAGGGGGGGGGCGCGTAGTGTGGTGTGACACCCTGACGTAAACATGCAAACTATAGAGAAAAGAATGTTACGACCAACTGTTCTAGCAACCGACTGTCGATAATCATTAGTAGTATAAAATATAAACACTTTAAAGCTTTAACTGGAGGCGTGGTGGGGTGGGGGGGGGGGGGGGCTAACACACACTGCAACATGAGGAGCCGCACCGGGGGATACTCGACCTAGCGACGCCACTATTTGTATATATGTTGGAGGATTTAAACAAGTCTAACATCGTGGATGACATGCAGAGCTAGTAGGCCCCATCCAGTTTGGAAAAAAATAAGGTAATCAACATGCTAACATTAAGAATTTAACATAAGAAGTATGAAGAAAAAAAATCAAATTGGTTTAAATCGATAAATACCACGCTATTTCTACATTGTTGGATAATTTTTGCTTTAAAAACATTAATGTTGCTTTTTAATTCTTATTTTTTTATAAAATAAACACGTAATTATGTTTCTAGGATGGGGTGATTAGATTAAAACTTTCTACCCCATCTAAGGTTACATGTACATTTCGACGCCGCTGCTTCGACCGTTTCGATTGGTTGGCCGCCATTGGTGATGCTTCGACCGTTTTGATTGGTTGCTTGCCATCGTTTGTGTTTATAAACTTCTCATGTGCCACGTCAAGCGTTTAACACTTCCATTGCTTCTCGTCAAGTTAACGTCGGGTAAATATTGTTACACATACATTTTATATCCTTAATAGTATTCTAAGGATTTATATGTTATCATGATCTGAACTTAAAATAATATAATTTTTTTTTTGTAAGTATTTATTTATACGTTGTTTGGTCTAATATATTTGAACGTCACAGACATTTCAGTAACTTTTATTCGTCATTTTTATAATTGAATTTTACTTTGATAATTTAAACGTCATAAAATTCCCATTTCGTGTTACAGAACCTTGATATCGCCAAATATTAAAAGGCACTATTTAGACTCAAAGATGTACATCAAAACTATTGGATCGCTACTTTTGCTTGCTTGCCTGTTGTTTGTGACCGTAGAAAAGGTGTGTGATTTTTTTCAATTGATTTTTTTTTGTACAACACTATAAAATTCGATTTTTTTGCTATCATATCTGCAACAAGTGGTGGCGAATAGTATAAAATTCCTGTAAAAGCATCTTGGTAGTGTGAATGAAGAGATCTTAAGGTCTCTGGCTTTTAGTGTGAACTTTTTTCTCAATATTGTTAATTTCCTTTATAATCAGTTAAGAAACTTGATCTGATAATCTCTCTGATCTTGTCGGGCTAGTGAACATTACGTTGCCTATATTAAAAACTATTTGCATGGTTAGTGGGTGCATAGCTAATCATAATTTTACATTAATCGTAGTTAAACTAAAACAAAACTAGGATTCGGGGCTAAATACACGATCAACGCGCGCCTGTATAGGTGGCGTTGACACAATTCATGACGTAAGTAGGAATTGACTAAAACACTGAGCCACTGAGAAACTATATTTTAACTACATTAGAGGCTTTAAAAATATGTTTTTTTTTGTTATAAAAAGGCTTTTATAATTATCTATTTTTTGTTTGAATTATTAGAGTCTCGGCTCTGATGCACTGACTGGGAGAGACGCCAGGTTACAAGGACCTGAAACGGATAAAATAATAGAAGCATCTCCAAACTTCGACCCTCTCTCAGCTATCAACATGAAGAAGAGGTCAGATGACGACGATGATGATGAATATCAAGGCGATTTTTAATTAAAATTAATTGCTATGCGAAACACATCACCCGACCTCTATAAACGTTTTACTTTATTACTGAGGCAGTGGCTAGCTTTGAGAGAGCATTTGACTTTTCCTGTGAGTGTAAAGAAAAAAACCTTCGATTAAAGTTATATGACAAGTTCTCTATATGCCACATATATCGTAAACGTCAATTGAAACAGATTGAAACGTATAGCATTATGGTCAATTTTGCTTAACATATATGGTGTTTCTATTGTTTTGCAGGCGTAAATCAGAAGTAAGACGCCAACACTAAAACAATACACATTTATTTCGTAAACAAATGAAATGCAAACAAAAGTACAACTACACAACAGCAACGTTCTAACCCAGAAACAAATAAAATAATACCTACAATCCACGGATGAGTAGGAAAATATAATGATATAAAAAGAACGAGATAACAATATATACTTGATGTTAGTTGACATGCCTACAATACGTGATCTATAGAGAACAAAGAATAACGAGGAAGTGAGTTAAATAAAAGCTTGTAAAAAATCACAACAAAAAAAACGTTTTAATAGCAAGCTTTTATGTAATAACTAGCCGTCCCGGCCAGGCCCTGCTCTGGCCTCTGTGAAAGACCTATCTGTAAAGGACCATGACATGTGTGTTTAGTAATCAGCATATACCCGGCATTGCCCACCCTAACCACAACCAACCAAAACCAAAACACAAATAAAGAAAGGAAACATAGCATAAACGCAAACACTAATACAAACGATAACACAAACCCAAACCCAGCCACAAACACAAACGAAAACACAAAACCAACCACAAACACAAAAACAAATACAAACACAAACACAAACCCAAAGAAAAAAAAACACAAACGAAAATGAAAAAGAAAAAGAAAGAACGAAAACGAACAAAATCAAAACGCAAACCCAACCACTAACGCAAACCCAACCTAAACACAAAGTAAACACAAATGTGAACATAAACGCAAAAAGCTCACAGTCTAGCCCGGGGCGCCAAATCGCACCATGCTGGGGCGCCGGCGAAATCGCCTGATTCAGCTTAATGAACGACTATAATATCCCAACTTATTCACTTAAACGAACGTAGGTGCCAAACCGAACACGGGAATGCACGGGGCCCAAAATAGCATCCTGTCTGGGCGCCATAGGACGCCCCGGATTTGATTCACTTAAAGACTATAGTAACCTTTCTTATCCATACTCTATCGCACTCTTAAAGCGAAATCATGCACCATAGCGCTCACAGGATAGCCTAGGGCGCCAAATTGAACCCTGACGGGGCGCCGGCGGACGCGTCTGTTTCAATTTAATGAACAATAATAATACTCCAACCGTATTCGTAAACAAAAAGAAATAAACATATCGGACATTTAGGACCTGGCTTATTAACTTTTATTGATTTAAAAAAATAATTAGTAAACAGTAAGTTCAGTAAATAGAATGAATAAAAGGCAGTATTAAAAATACCTACAACATTTGCACTTGATCAATCCCCGCTAATAATGTAATTATTTTTTTTCCCAACACCAAAACAAAGTAATAAAAAGTAAATTCTTTTCCACTAATGCAATGTTTTATAAAGGGAAGTCATTGTGTTTTCCTAATTTATCAAAGGGAAGTAAGTGCTAAAGGACTAAACATAAATAATTTTCAGACATAATTAGAATTTTTGTAAAAGATGATATTTTTACAAATTGTGTTTAATGAACATGCCGACAATTATTACTATCAGTTTGAAAAATGAAAATTATTTCACAACACTTTCAGTATTAATTTTTTAACTCATAAATTTAGATCATTAATAATCTAACACTTGAATCCATCGAGGTCTCTTTTTTTATTTTTTATTATATTCCTTTGTAATCCACGAGAAACATTTTACAAACAAACATACATAATTGAGAAGATATATTAGAAGATACTCTAAAAAGTAGAAAATAAATTACACACTAATATTTAAATAACTATACAAAAAATCGTGGGTCACTTTGGTATCTATTGGATACCTTTACTAATATTTAGGAAGAGACCAACGCTTTTCCTTATGGATATTTAAATAGTAGTGTATAATTAATTTTCTACATTTTAGTGAACTATTACATAAAAGCTTGCGATTAAAACGGTTTTTTTTTTATTTTTCTCCCATTCTTTAAATTTAGATTTTTTAATGTAATAGAGTTTCAAGACTAAAAACCATTGCACACCTAATGAACATGATGACGCATGTCTAATAGGCGGAATAGTTTGATGAGACAGCCTACTAGTTTGGACAAAATTTTAATTAATTCATAAAAAAAACTAATCAGGTAACCAGTTAGAAGTGTCCCAAATTTCGATCGGGCGCTTCGATCTAGACAGACTGACAGCAGAGGAAGTTACTAAAATAAAAGCTTGTAAAAAACAAGAATTTCAATTTTAGCAAATAATGGCTCAATTTAAATTAATTTTGTAATTACAATAAAAAAAAAACGCATGTAAAAACTCTTAACTTAGCCATCTATTTTGTACTGTGTTGTAGTCTATAAAAGATGAAACATTTTACCCTTTTTAATCTTTTTTACTAATTTTAAACATTAACTTTTTTACTGATATATTCTTAAAAGTAAAATGCATTATAAAATAAACTCGTGTGTTTAGATTTGTGTAAAATTAGTTTATTCTAAGCGTCGTCTAAAAATTTTAAAATGCAGCACACCAACTTGAACAGATAGCGTAGGTTAGACTTTTATTAGACCCCAAAATTAAGCTTCAATCTTTATTTATTTAAATTGAAATTGAAGCAATGAATTTAATACAATTTTTTATTTTTTATTTTAAAGCTTATTGTTTTCTGTTTTAATAATTTTAAAAAAATTGGTTAAGTGTCAGATGTCAAGATAAATATTAACGATATCTATTAAATTAATTAGATTCAGATTCAACAGGACAGGAACCTTAGCCTAAGACGAAAAGATAAATTTTGACGTTGTTAATGAAATGTTACTTTCGAGAATTGTAATTGAAAATTTCCACAATACGCCCCGAATGTAAAAGAAATAGTAAGTCTAAATGATGTATTTACAAAAAAAAATCTGTTAATAAAAAAAAAACCAACAGGAAAATTACTTTTTTCTATCGCAAGATATATTTAACCTACCTTGCTGGTTGTACGGTTTCAAGATTCTTAGTAATTTTATTGATAAACATATTATTTAAGTGCGTTCTACAATGTGTCAATTGATCCAGGCTACTGAAAATGCGCGTTAAAAGTTTGGGAAAACCAACGTCAAATATTAACGTTGTGATTATTTTATTATTTTATTTTTTTGCCAAACACAAGATTCGACTTTTTTTTTCTTTTTAAAAATATTGAATCTTACTGATGGTAAAAATATACTACCACACACACACACACACACACACACACACACACACATATATATATATATATATATATATATATATATATATATATATATATATATATATATATATATTACTTTCTCGTATATACGAATTATAGAGAAATTCTTGTAATCGTGCAAAAAAAAATCGAGATTTTTTCAAATCTCGATGTTTTACGCCTCACTGATACGAAAAACATAATGTTGCAATCTTGTCCGTATGTCTGTGTGTGTGTGTGTATGTGTGTGTGTGTGTGTTTGTGTGTGTGGTTGTCTGTCTGTGTGTGTGTAAACACGAACACTTAAGTACCACTACAGCTAGGTTGATGAAATTTCATATATAAGTATTTTATCAGAATCGTAGATCTGTTTAAACTTTTGAACGATATCCGATAACCGGAAGTAGTACTTTTTCTACTTTGAATTTTTCAAAAACCTATAACTTGAGAACTATTTCAGATAGATAAATGAAATGTTAAATGTAAGTGAAAGATCTAATTCTCTACCTTCTGTCAAATTTTGAGTAATTTCCGTTGACCGGAAGTACTAATTTACGCTATTTTTGATTTCTCAAAAAAGCATGTAAATTTATAAGGTACTAATAATAGTGTGCACTATTATGCACATTTCATTTGGGGTTCACCTGGTGTGCAATTCTACGAGATTTTATTCTATTTTAAAAACTTTAAGTATTAAAAATGGAGTTCCCATCCCCTGTTGTTTTATATAAGAATATTCGAGAAAGTTTAGGGGAGATCACTCCCGGTTTATTTTTCTTTACCTTTCTAAATGTTGATACTCATCTGCAGTTTCTTGATGGTTCTCTCCCTTAATGCTTTATATAATGTCAAGGCGTATTTCCAGATTAAAGAAAAGGTAAAAAACGAAACAAAATTTCAGCCCGTGAAAGATGTCAAATCCAAGTGGTGATTTAACTGGCAATTATCTAGGCAATTTGTAATATTCCCAGATTTATGGCCACAGGTGTGTATCTTCTATTGCCTGATAACTTGAACATGTGAACGGGGATGAATAAGGGTGAATGTTCTTTGTGGTTTGTACCATGTCACTGTACAATTCTCATGCGGCCAGGTCACAGTGACGTCATCATATTCCGATTTGTATCTGTTTAATAACGTGTATATAAGGTGTGTGAGAACGTGTATGAACGCCTTTGTTGAGTTCTGTTCTTCTATCAGGTTAGTGTTGGTTAGCTATGTGTAATTTTAAATATTCACAGTATCGTACTTTTGTGTACTGATTTGTGTTAGTATTGCGTTAGTATTGCGAATAGCCTGTGTTAGTGTAGACAGTGTATACTGTGTAGATGACATTAAACTATTTTTAGTGTTAACGAGCCTTTGTTTCATTTAGTTTTGTGTTTTGTAATCCGTTTGTGGTTGTATATATTGTATAGTATGCGACACACTTGTTTACCCTATAGGCATATCAGTATGTTCACAACAAATACCTAATTACGTTTTAAAAAAATATTTTTTTTTGTCAAAATGCCTTTATGTAAACTTGTTATTTTAAAACTTGCTATTCACACAATAAAGAAGAGGGCAAGAAAAGACAATAAATTCTTTTTTCACAAAATGACAGAAAAAAACTGAGGTAGATGAATGACAAGGAAACTTACAAAGGTTATATTGAATTACAAGAGCATTCTCAGGCAAGAATACAAACCCCAGTATGCACGTTCAGGACACAAACATATGGGAAAACTGTCACAAGTGATGTGAAACAGAGAGACT